CATGTACTTGCTAAACCTTCCACAGGTGTCCACTCACAGCAGCCCCCATACACCCCTGCCTAACCTCACCTGGACGGCGCACAAGTCAGCCGCGTGCTAGGTTTGCGTCTCCTGAATTGCAAGTCCTATGACCCCTATTGAAACATCTTCTCTTTTGTTTGCTTTTCTGCAATGTTGATTTTATTTCTTACTACTTGACATAGTCAAAGTTTAACCAAGATTTAGGTCACAAAGGAAATGGCGTATCTTGAGATAAAAGGCATAATAAACCATTGAGACATAAAAACAAAGGTTTCTGAGCTAGAAGAATTGCTTAGGAAGAAATACCAACAAAAAGTGAATTGTCTTTCCTATATGAATGACAGACAGACACAGTGATTTGTGTGCAGTCATAACATCGTAGTGATCTCCAATCGAAGGCTTCCCACATCTGTTCCTACATCGGACAACTGAGGAATAACTACTTTTTGGAAATCGAGCTACCATTGACTCTTTCATGTAAAGGATATGAAATGACTTCCACAGGGTATCGGATGACAGCATTAATCACAAATGGGGCTTCAGCGGCCCTGCCCACCAGCCAGATGGGGTTGGGGTCATCCAGGATGGTGGTGACTGCAACACAATCATTAACCATTAATCGGGACGGCCCTTTACCTGCCAGTGTAGGGCTACAAAGACGCTTTAATTCCTGTGGGATAGCCTGTGCTTCCGAACTGAAAGAAATCATTCAGAGGAAAGAGAAATTACATGTGCAAAACTGATCACACATCGCTTGTTAAAATACCTCTGGAAATACTTACGTTAAAATCTTTCTCAGAGTACTTATGTTAATGATCGTCAAAAAGTTAGAAACAAGCCGGGCGCGGTGGCTCACGCCTGTAATCCTAGCTCTCTGGGAGGCCGAGGCGGCGGATTTTTTGAGCTCAGGAGTTCGAAACCAGCCTGAGCAAGAGCGAGACCCGTCTCTACTAAAAATAGAAAGAAATTAATTGGACAACTAAAAATATACAGAAAAATTAGCCGGGCATGGAGGCGCATGCCTGTAGTCCCAGCTACTCGGGAGGCTGAGGCAGGAAGATCGCTTGAGCCCAGGAGTTTGAGGTTGCTGTGAGCTAGGCCGATGCCACGGCACTCACTCTAGCCCAGGCAAAAGAGTGAGCCTCTGTCTCAAAAAAAAAAAAAAAAAAAAGTTAGAAACAGTTTCTTCTACATTTGCTGGAGAAATACTGTGCTGTCACTAAAAACAATATCAGAACTTTGTAGCTGTGTGAGGAAATATTTATATTACACAGTTCAATAAATAAAAATAATTTGAATCCAAAAGTGTTTACACACTGCAATAGCTATATAAAAAGTAGTGCATATGGATAAAGAGTGAAAGGAATAACAACAAAAAAAGTGGATTTGTACATCAATGTTTTTTAGTTTTGTTTTAAAATCTGCTCTATTATTGCAATAATGCTGTTAGCGTATTACATAAAATCAGTACACAACACTGGAATTGCAGTCCTCCCTCTGTGTGTATTATCCATGAGGTCTGGTTACCAAGTAACACTCTAGATGCCTTTAGAGAAACCTCTGACCATCAACCAGGCAAACGTGCCGAGTCAAGCACACGCAATGGCCTGAGAGCCTGGCGCTGTGAGGAATGAACACACTCTGCTCTGCCTTCCAGTAGGAAGCTTGGGCACTTCTGTCCTCCTGCTGGACTGCCAGTGTGGGCTGACTCACTCACATTCTCTATTTCTCTCTGGAAAAAACCTCAAGGAGGCTTGTATTTTTACAAAAGGAAACTCATCAGGGCAGAGGTGGGATAAATATGGCAATTAATCATCACTAACCTGCTGGCCCACAGGAGGGGTGGAGGAGGGGTGTTGCGGGTCTAGAGATCAGGACAGAAAGGACAGATCCTGGGTAGTCTGTCTGCTCCCATCACTGAGCATTCGCGAGTTCTGACATTTTGATCACGACAAGGGTTCCAGTTCTTTTTGTCTCTGTTGCCCCCACAAACCTGGAAAGTCCTTGGGCAGTGGATCAAAGTCCCCAACCCATGACTCACCATTCCTTTCCTGATAGGCAGCAACAATGTGGGTGAGGTCATAGTCACAGGCAAAAGGGCTGGTCCCGTTGATCACGGACACCTGGACACGGCAGGAGGACGTGGTGTGAGCACCGGAGAGGCTTCTCCTCTCTTCCCTCCTCTGTCTACCCTTCTGCCCACCCAGGCTGCTGCCACAGATCACCCTCTTGATCTTGGTGGCCTGTTCCATTAGCAGTGAACTTTTCTGCAAAGACGAATAAACTCTCCTGTGACAATTTAAGTCCCTTTACTCTCAGTCTTTCCTTCTGTGGGAATGGAAATAAGGGTCAATATCCACCTTTCACAGGTTTTAAATATATTTATAAAATACCCCTCTCCACTCCATGGGAAAAATAGTTCCTTTAATTTTTTTTAACAGACCATATTTCCAACTGCTTTGTCTTTTTCTTGCTCTTCTCTGATGCTCTCTAATGTCTTTATCTCTTAAAAGTAGAAATGGAAATAGATAAAATGCATATAGTAAGCATATAATCCCCTAAAGGAAATGGTATCTTGCCCTATAATTTCATATTACTGTTAAATTAATCTGATACATAAATGTTCAAGCAAAAAATTCCAATAATAAGGTTATATATTATGTATATTTATCAAAGATGCCATATTAAATTTTTATGACTGCCTCACTTTATAACATACATTTATTATAGCCAGAGTGACCATAAAGCTCAGTTTATATGTAACAGTCCTGGTTTATGGCTGTAATAACTGATAATCCCTTTTGCTTTAAAGGTATCTCAGCCCAACTTATATGGTCTCCTTTGTGATAAAATGAAGTTTAGGAATGAATCATTACATGCCTGAGTTCTGGACTCAGAGAGACAGTTCCTGGCTGTGTTACTTTCAAGCTTTGGGCCTTTGGGAAATTAATTGACCCCAGTTTCATCCTGTGCAACATGAGAGTTCATTCTTTCAAAAAACATCTCTGAGGCCGGGCGCGGTGGCTCACGCCTGTAATCCTAGCTCTCTGGGAGGCCGAGGCGGGCGGATCGTTTGAGCTCAGGAGTTTGAGACCAGCCTGAGCAAGAGTGAGACCCCATCTCTACTACAAATAGAAAGAAATTAATTGGACAACTAAAAATATATAGAAAAAAATTAGCCGGGCATGGTGGCACATGCCTGTAGTCCCAGCTACTTGGGAGGCTGAGGCAGGAGGATTGCTTGATCCCAGGAGTTTGAGGTTGCTGTGAGCTAGGCTGATGCCATGGCACTCTAGCCCGGCCAATACAGTGAGACTCTGTCTCAAAAAAAAAAAAAAAACATCTCTGAGAGCTTACCAAGTGCCAGGCACTGTTTTAGGCACTTGGGGGATGTATACAAGATGGTAGCGCTATTAACGCTGAGGCATACAACAAATAAACCAAAAACATATCTTTAGTTTGTCAGGTGGCGGTAGGAAAAGTCAGTCTGGGTAAAGGAAGGGGGAGGGAGGGGAATGCCTTTTAGAAAGATGGGTCAGGGAAGGACTGTGCTCAGGGACACTGCAACAGGCACATTCATGGAACGGTCCAAAAAACAACATGGATCCCTGGCCAAGGGAATAGCAAGCGCAAAAGTGCTGAGGAAGAGCTGGGTTGGAGAAAGAGCAAGAAGACCGGCGTGGCTGGAATGGAGCCAGGGGGACAGTGATAGGACCAGTGGCCGGAGAGGTGGGAAATGACAAGTGTAGGGACATCGGAAATTGCTGTGATGATGAAATGAGATGATATATGTAAACCAGTTCACTCAGGGCTGGTGTGTTACCTGTTCAGTAAAGTATGGTTATTATTAGGATTATTTTGATCTGGGTTTCACTCCGTCACTCAGGCTAGAGTACAGTGGCACAGTCATAGCTCACTGCAAATTCCTGGGTTAATGGGATCCTCCTGCCTCAGCCTCCTGAGTGGCTAGAATTACAAGAGTATGTCACCGTGCCTGGATAATTTTTTCATTTTTTGTAAAGACAGGTCTTATGTTGCTCAGGCTAACTGGTATTATTTGTGAAATATTTTACATCATCATTTTACACGATCACTTGGATAACTGTGTGGTATAGAAGACAGTGTGTGTGTCATTCCCTAAAAGGAGAAAACAATTTAGTTCTGTGACAAAGATAGATTATTTTCTCTTTCCTTCTAGGAGTAAGTACAGGTGTACTTTCTCTATATTTTGAGAGAATTCATGGCAAGAATTCCTCAGAAGCCCTCTTCTGAGCCACTCACAGAGAAATGCTGTTTCTACCTTTCATTCCCCTCTTCAAAGAACTTGATAAACAGTGACATAAAGAAACAAAGAAGCTGGACAACAAGAAGCATCCTCACGTTGTATCGGACATCTAGGCCACCATAGCTTAGCGGCTGCCTCTGCTGCAGCCTCAGGTCTCCATTCACATATAACTGGGACCCAGGAACGGCAAAGGAGGACTGGAGAAACGCCATGCTCTGCATCACAAACGTCGAAATCCTCTGAAAGCAGCACAAGGAGAGACAATACCAAATGCAGACATACATGAAGGTCTCTGGGCTCTAAGAGTCACCAGTCTTGGCTGAAGCCTGACAAGCCCTCACGTATCTGGTGTAGCCATGCAGGAAGCCTCTGCCCAGAACCCTCTGAGCTGCTGATGGCCCATATAAATGAGTATGACCCAGTGAAAAACATTCGATTGGCCTAAGTTAGATCCCAATCTACACTCCAGGAGAGAGTCTGCGACAGTGTGGGTCTTCCTAGCAATCAGAAGGAGGGCTCTATTCTATTGAAAGACAAAGGGAGAGGACGGCCTCCCTAAGGGACCAACTCACGTGCAGTTGGTAGGAGAACATCAGGATGAGCTGCACACCAAGAACGTGCTCTGTAGACTGCAGGGGAAGCTCCAGTTTAAAATGCAGCCTGTCCATTTTCCCATCCTGGTTCCTGTCTTCTTCTCTCGTCTAGGGAACACAAAGGGGGCCAGCGGCCCTGGTCCTTAATAGGTCTGGGAAGAATCTACATCACGTCTGAAGTTGGTCAACAGTAGCATATAGAATCGAAGGAGTTGGACAAGGAGCACCCTCACATTGCCCATCCTCGTCTGTACATACACGATGCCCACTGCCCTGCCTTACACAGGCATTACCTCCCTCACCAAAAGAGAGAGAGCAAAATAAGCAGGTGTAAGTGCATCAATATTAGGGAAAAACACAGTGTGCATGGCCCCTGAACTTCATACTTGTACCTCTGAAATAAACACTGGCCAAAATAAGGGGACTTAAAGTGGCAATAACAAGAACAAACATCTGGATAACACTTGTCTCTTTCAGTTGTCTCATTTGGTCTGGTTTGTTTGTACTGGTGTTTTCTCTTTTTCTTTGTTATAAACATGCTTGGATTTGTACAAATAATTTAAATAGCATATCACAATCGTCTTCTACTTCTTTACAAGGTAACCTTTTAAAATAGAAAAAAAACCTAATGTCAATCAACATGCATTCCCCAAACCAACTCAACAGAAAATCACCGAGCTCTATTTACACATTCTTAAACCACAAGTGTCTTTGCTGCAGATTCTTGATGTCGGACCTCATGCATCATTCATGTCAGGACTTTAAAGCCTTGTGCATCTTTTAGTACCAATCCATAAAATGAAAAAGGAAGCTAATTAAAATGAGCAAAGCAACAAACCAGATATTTGATAAATTATAGAGAAGAAAGTAAGGAAACCAGGCAGAGATCTGAGGAGGGAAAAAGACAAATTGCAGCTCAGGCAGCGCACGGTGACAGCACATGCAGGCATATGAAATGACTAGCAGGGAAGGACGGTTACTGAAAAGTGATCACTGCTGACATGATTCCTCCACACAACTCTGGATCTTGTTCTACAAGTGATCCTTTTTCACCGTCGGTTCCCACAGGACTCTACTATGGTATAGCAGCTTTCCCACCTGAATCCCCTATCCATGGGTTCATTGTGCTTTCCACCATTACCATTACGTGAGGAAGAGATTTTTTGTTCTATTTCAGGCTAATAAGGTAGTTGGAGATGAAGAAATCTCAGTTTTAAGAACCTTTTAATCATTTCTTTCTGTCTAGGCAATAACGTCCTTACCCTGGGCCTTACTTTAGAGAAACCTACCCTCTTCCTTCTGTTGGACACTATTCTCTCTGTCCTGTTCCATCAGCTTCCCAGGTGGAGGGGAAGGATATCTACTAGCAGGACTGATGATTAAGTTTCTCGGGCAATTATGTACTAGAAATTATGACTAGGATATAAGAGAGGTGGCCTTGTCTTCCTGTGAATTTTCTTCAGTCAGTATCCGGGAAGACTGGAACACAATGTTTAGTTAACTGTCTGTAATGGATCCATGCCTTCTGGATCTTTAGAGTTAGACAGGAAGCAAAGATCAAACTTCTCAACTATCCTCCTGTAAGAGTATATTGGCCAGGAGAGAATTTCCAGAAGAATCTAGAGTCTGACACAGTGTGGGAGAAAGACAATCTCATTTCCCTTCATGTTTACAATAAATGTAAAGCCTGAGTAGGCGGAACAAGTATTATCCCCACGGTACAGATGAGAAAATCAAGGCACAGGGAGGTTAGTGCTTTTATCAGAGGTACAGCTAGTGGTCGTGAAGACAGGATTTGAGACCAGGTCTTTGACTTCAAATCTGGTCCTCTCTTTGTGACTAAAATGTGCAGCCTTAAAAAACAGTGCAAAGAGAAGATGTCGGGTAGAAGAAATCTTCTTGCAAAAAAGGCAGCGTGTTAAGTCTGTACACTTGCTTATGTCCACACTCTTACTGTAAGCTCGAAAAGGACAGAGATCTGGCACAGCGCCAGCTAGAGTGTCTACTTGTTAAATTGGCTCATTAATCTGTCAAGTACTTTTTGAGGCGCTACTACATGCCAGGCTCTATTTCAAGTAATGGGAATATAATGGTAAACAAATTAGGCAAAGCCCCCACCCTGATGGAGCTCACATTCCCAGCTGAGAAGGAAGAAAATCAGTCAATCAACAAATAAACAAGTAACAATATGAAAGAGTTGCAAATGTCATAAAGAGGAATGAAACAGGCTAAAATTAGAGAATGATGAGGGTAGAATTTAGCAGGAATTTTTATAGAAAAAATTCTGACCTGACTTGTTGGAGACCTGATGAAGCAAGGTGATGAGGCATGGGAGAGTGGGGCGGAGAGTGAGCCAGGCCAACCACGTACACGTGCACTGGGTGCCCGCGGGGCCCGTGCACTGGGCAGAGGAGAAAAGCAGGGCCACCAGAGCCACAGAGACAATCAGTGATGCAAACAGTGTGTCTCCCACAAAGGACCTGTCACCAAGCTAGACTCCCACCCTACAGGGCTGTCAAAGGTTCGCTACATTTCTATGTTACCACTTTGAGCACTGATGATATTTAATTCCATTTACTGCAAAATAAGCTTAACACATGTGCAACAATTATAAAGGAAGGCATTCAAAGAGCTACTACTTCTTTAACACAAATTCTAGGTGAGTATCAAAAATCCAACCGGTGTCTGGCTTAGAGAATTCACAAATCACACCACCACATTTCTACGAGGTATGTATGATTTGGAACAATTTTTATATCCATTGAATGTTCCATCTGATCCCTCTGCATGTCCCAGAGAGAGGTCGGTACTATCATGCCCTGGTATATAGACAGATAAATTGAGGCTGAGAGAGTATATGGAACCCAAAGACAGAATTGGGATTAGAACCCCGGTTTGCTGACTCTTGATTCAGAACTCCTTCTACAATAACTCATAAGAACCCTAATTGCAACCATTTCTGATGGTTAAAGTAGGATAACGCTTTACAGATATATAGGAAATCATTCTAGTTTACTTAGAAAAATATGAGCAAAATAAATTGTTCTAAGATTCTTAAAACTTCTTCGCAACCTCATTCTTTTGAATAACATCTTAACTTAGTCAATGATGTCCACACTTTTCCATGCAATTTTGTCCGTTGTACCATCAGGCATGTTGGTGACATGGCAAGTTAAAAGAACAATTCATAAAACAAATTAACAACCATTGGTGTTAAAAGCAAGCTTTTAAATTATGTAGAGCTTTCTTATTTGTAAAAGACTCTTGAACTTCCCCTGATAAGTTCTCTATTTGATTCTTAGGAGCTACAACAATGTTTTATTGCCAGGGAGGGTGGCGCATGCCTATAGTCCAAGGCAGGAGGATCAACTGAGCCCAGCAGTTTGAGTTCGACCTGAGCAACATGTGAGACCCTGTCTCTTAAAAAAAAATAAAAATTTAAATTATTTTTTAAAAAATATTTTATTACTGTTTCCGGGGTTTTCTTTCAAGTTGCTGATGTCCCTTCTGCAAGTTTTGATGGTGGCACTTTTGTCTGCATGTGGGTAGACAGTGAGAACGACGCCAAGCCTGCCTCCCGGCCCACAGGTAACGTGAGACGACACGCTCTGATTTCAGAGATGAGAAAAAAACAGTTGTCTTAGACACAAGGTACTCTCCACTCACGCTCTGGTATCCTCCTATAGCCATCAGCTCCCATGTTCTCTGGGTCCACACATGCCTTAAAGAGCCACATCAGGCTCACCTGAGGGAAAAGGTCGATCTGTTTTCTTCTTTGCTCGTTAAAAACAATAAAACAGACAATTAAAGCACGAAAAACACAGGGACTTTAGAGATGCTGCTAAAGGTGAGCTGCCCAAAGCAGAAGCAAGGTCATTTGTGACTTATGCAGTATTTCCCCAAATTAGCAACAGCGTAGCCACCTCCCAGCATTTGTTTAAAACTTGATCCAAAACCACTGCTTCCTTTGCTTCAAGGACAGTTTCCAGGACAGGTTGACGCTACTTTGGCTTTACGTTCAGAATTAGAAAATGAAAGTATTTTGTTACAATAAGGGTTACGATTTTAAGCTCTGGCATAGGAAACATTGAGTTCCAATCCAGACTCTGTTCAGTTAAAAGCTAAAGCAAATTATACCATTTCTCTGAGTCTGTTGCTTAATCTGTAAAATAGTGGTATAACCTCCACCTCACAGGGTTACCACAGGGATTAAGGAGATAATACAGTTTTAAAAACTTAATAGCTAACACTTCCCAAGCGATTATTACAGGCCAAGTACTATGTAAAGCTGCGGTCCCCCAATTCACAACTCTGGGGCCGCAGATCTCACCCCTACACCCCCATCCACGGAAAAATTGTCTTCTGTGAAACCAGTCCCTGGTGCCAAAAAGGCTGGAGACTGCTGATGTAAAGGACATTTAAAAGCATAATGATAAAATGCTTATTTTATGGCTGAGGCATAGTAAATCAGTAATGTTTACTACTATCGCTTGTATGCATATCACCAGGCCATCTCCTACGTGCATTTTTGCATATTGTGACAGGATTCACATACCATAAAATCCACCCTTTTAAAAAATATTATTCAGTAGATTTTAGTAAATGCAAAGTTGTGCAACCATCACTATCTAATGCCAATTTCAGAACATGTGTATCATCCCCAAAAGACACACCATATCCACAGCAGTCACTTCCTACATATCTCCCCCATCCCCTGCGCAAGCCCCGCAGCCCCTCATCTACTTTCTGTGTCAATAGATTTGCCTGTTCTGGACATTTCACATAAATGGAAAATAGGATACATGCTGGTTTGTGGCTGGATTCTTTCAGCTAGCATAATGTTTTTAGGGTTCATTCATATTATAGCACATACCTTG